AAGTAGAAGTGGGTAAGGAGGGTAGAAGTTTGAGGTAATCAGTCCCTCAACCTGGAATCGATGTGTTCAGTTCATCACTCTTGTAGGAAGTGCAGCATAGGGCTAGAGAGGTGGCTTATATACTGCGGTGAGATGAGTTGAAGCAGGAGGAGGCGGGATCACAGTGGGACCTGCCACTAGTGTAAGTAGGTCGTCGTCCAAAGGTCGGGCAAGCGTTGAAGTCTTTGTACCAAGATCCCATGAGGTTGCAGTGTCTGACAAATGTGATGAATGGTTTGAAAACCGACAACTTGAAGAATTGAGACACTTATGCAACACATGGGAATCTTTATTGAAGAAACGTTTCGCCACACAGTGGCTTCATCAGTCCAATACAAAGTAGAAGTGGGTAAGAAGAGTAGAAGTTTGAGGTAATCAGTCCCTCAACTTGTCGGTTTTCAAACCATTCATCACATCTGTCAGACACTGCAACATCATGGGATCTTGGTACAAAGACTTCATCGCTTGCCCAACCTTTGGGCAAGCGATCAAGGCACCCACCCTACTTGTTTACTTATGATAGCATCAAGGCACCCACCCTACTTGTTTACTTATGATAGCATCAAGGCACCCACCCCACTTGTTTACTTATGATAGCATCAAGGCACCCACCCCACTTGTTTACTTATGATAGCATCAAGGCACTCACCCCACTTGTTTACTTATATAGCATCAAGGCACCCACCCTACTGTTACTAAGATAGCATCAAGGGACTCACCCCACTTGTTTTACTTATGATAGCATCAAGGCACCCACCCACTTGTTTACTTATGATAGCATCAAGGCACTCACCCCACTTGTTACTTATGATAGCAATCAAGGGACACACACCACTTGTTTACTTATGATGCATCAAGGCACCACCCCACTTGTTTACTTATGATAGCATCAAGGCACCCACCCCACTTGTTTACTTATGATAGCATCAAGGCACCCACCCCACTTGTTTACTTATGATAGCATCAAGGCACCCACCCCACTTGTTTACTTATGATAGCATCAAGGCACCCACCCCACTTGTTTACTTATGATAGCATCAAGGCACCCACCCCACTTGTTTACTTATAGCATCAAGGCACCCACCCTACTTGTTTACTTATGATAGCATCAAGGCACCCACCTTACTTGTTTACCTATGATAGCATCAAGGCACCCACCTTACTTGTTTACCTATGATAGCATCAAGGCACCCCCTTACTGTTACCTATGATAGCATCAAGGCACCCACCCCACTTGTTTACCTATGATAGCATCAAGGCACTCACCCCACTTGTTTACTTATGATAGCATCAAGGCACCCACCCCACTTGTTTACTTATGATAGCATCAAGGCACCCACCCCACTTGTTTACTTATGATAGCATCAAGGCACCCACCCCACTTGTTTACTTATGATAGCATCAAGGCACCCACCTTACTTGAAAGGATTGTACTGAGGATATTGAGTGAAGACAAATGCTGCTGTGGCTGACCTCTAGTGTTACACGGTAGGTATAATGTTTGTCAGGAAACATGACAAGTTCTTCCTGACGTGGGTCTTATGACCCGCCACTGGAGCTTTTGGTCATCTGACCGAGGCCTTCCGCTGGCTTACCGGTCCACTCCTTTAAAAATTATGCTTATTATTATAACCATTTTTATCCTTGATGATACAGTCAAGTTACTCACCTTTATTGAGAGGAATATACCGAGGATGTTGAGTGAAGACAAGTGCTGCTGCTGCTGTGGCTGACGTCTAATCTTACATCAAGCATGATTCACATATTAAAAAGTCTTTTAAGGTTAAAATATTTTATTATATGGCATGAGAAATAAGCACAAATATATTTACACACTGTACTTTGACATTTAAATGACGTACAAAAAACTATTTCACACGATGTGCATAAGTTAACATACAGAGATTAGAAGATTATTATTATTATTATTATTATTATTATTATTATTATTTATTATTATTATTATTATTATTATTATTATGCAAATTAAGCTATATTTAAGTAGTAAAATGTGCATATAATTAATTAAGCAATTAGAGTATAAAATGAACTCACATCACATAATTAATTCAAGAAGAATGACAATTTAACATTTCTACGGTATTGGTTAAAAAAGTAACCGATACCAGCCGATAGTTTTTAAAACATTCATATTACATGTGTGCTTAAAAATATCAACATTAACACTTTACCTCACGATTGTGAGTTACTCACACTCTGGAGAGTGAAGTAATGGAGGCAGGATCCATACATAGCTTTAAGAAGACGTACGATAGGGCTGAATATGATAACGGTACCTTGGTATTATGGAGGTTACTGCATTGTTGTAATAAATTTGTAATGTGGAGTAATTGCATAGTGGTGAAGCTCCATAAATAAAGTGTTAGTGCCTTAGTAGACGCGAACTGAATAACAGGTGGACGCATATGAGACGGACGGGTGTCGAACTGAGAGAGACGTGTGTGCAGTCACTACTGGTTAATAATAATAATCATAATATCTTTATTTCTACATGTACAAGGTATACAGGCCTAGCTGACATCAGTGACATACTACTATATAGAAAGCCGCTTGTTATGCTGAGCATTTCGGGCAAATTAGGTCAGTTTTGTCCCAGGATGCGACCCACACAAGTCGACTAACACCCAGGTACCCATTTTATACTGATGGGTGAACAAGGACAATAAGTGTCTTACGGAAACACGTCCTAATGTTTTCCAGCCGTACCGGGAATTCGATCTCCGGACCTCAGTGTGTGAGCTGAGTGCGCTACCCATCGAGCTACGGGACACCAAAGTAAGGTAATGGACCAAGCATGCTCTTGCGAACATTTGGCAATTTCTTTATAATTCTCAGGCCATAAACTGGTTTTTGTTTTGGGGTAATATTTTCTCTCACGTGGGTCATGATATGGTCCTGGTCCTGTTGTTTGAGTGGGGCCGGTGTGTTCAGGTAAGATATTGAAATTACTGCGCAATTAACAAGAGTCTAGGAGACGAGATGGGTAATGGCGACCCCGCTGGTGCCTAACGTAATGTCCAATTTTTTTCTTTTATTGCCCTAGCCTTGAATTAACTAGGAGAGGTGTACAAGTACTTTTTTTGTAAGATGTGAAATGTGTTCTAGGCAGGTTTTGTGTTATATATATATTGTATATGTTGTATATATGGTAATTAGTCGTAAAGTACTGACCACTTGTTTAACGCTTTTGTGGAGTTACAAGTGTAGCCCAGGGTGGTGTATTTTTAATATTTTGTAAGTGTCCCCTAGACACGGCTTTTACTCCCTTAGGCTAAAACTTATTTTTGTAACATATGGTATACCGAACATCTTCCCTAACTTTTTTGTTGCCTGACCATTAGTTACAAGCGAGAAGGGATGGATTTAAGGGGACCTGCACTCTCCATGATTACATTCTTACTTCTACTAGTGAGCTCCGCCTCTCCTGTCGTCAAGATTATCTGCGCCTCACCTTTCACAGTACATAAATCTCCATACTGTTGCTTCAGCTTCACAGTGTTCCAGACTATGGAGAAAAACTCTTATTCAGGCAGCTAAGGACTGACCACCCCAAAAATACATCTTCAAGGGCGATGGACTGATTGCATTGTCTTTACATTTCTACTGCTTTTGATGCTTCTTCTGTACTCAACTGAAGAAGCTTAACTGTTGCACATGTGTCTTACTTATCTGCGATGAGGCACTTGGAGCAGGGAGAGAGTGGACCTAATACCGACTAGCGAAGAGGTGGGGCCAGGAGCTATGAATCGGCCCCTGCAACCACATATTGGTGAGTATACACATATAGGTGAGTACACACATATAGGTGAGTACACACACATATAGGTGAGTACACACATATAGGGGAGTACACACATATAGGTGGGTACACACATATAGGTGGGTACACACATATAGGAGAGTACACACACATATAGGTGAGTACACACATATAGGAGAGTACACACATATAGGAGAGTACACACATATAGGAGAGTACACACATATAGGTGAGTACACACATATAGGAGAGTACACACATATAGGTGAGTACACACATATAGGAGAGTACACACACATATTGGTGAGTACACACATATAGGAGAGTACACACATATAGGAGAGTACACACATATAGGAGAGTACACACATATAGGTGAGTACACACATATAGGAGAGTACACACATATAGGTGAGTACACACACATATAGGTGAGTACACACATATAGGAGAGTACACACATATAGGTGAGTACACACACATATTGGTGAGTACACACATATAGGTGAGTACACACACATATAGGTGAGTACACACATATAGGAGAGTACACACATATAGGAGAGTACACAGACAGATACACACCCACACACTATCGACAAGTGTCTTTGACAATCATTAACTAACACAAGCCAATTAATGATATTGTTTATAATTATCTCAAAGACACTAACTCATTTAATATTTAACCTCCCTTTGTTATTTAATATCCATTGTGCAATAAACATTTAAAACAATACCGGCTCCTCACTCTGGAAAACATATAAACACCAGTATGAAAATTATATATTTTGGTGCTTTTGTATGATAGAATTTTCAAACATAAAAGAACTTAGCCATAACCCACAATGTTTTATTATAGAATATTTACTTATATATTTATTTTTTATTGCCAAAATTGTACACAAAGCGATTTTTTTAATGAGTTTTATTTCATGTTAAAAAACATAAATATATTTATTAATTTGATTTTGTAATGTCAGTTGTGACACAACTAAAACATGTTACAGCATGTATTTGCACATATAAATTCAAAGGAAATATTTACTGGTTAATTGGAGAGATAACGAGATCCAAAGACAAGAAGCAGAGACAATATAATGTTGAAGAATTACCACCGCCAAGGGGCACCACCACCACCCGGCGGTCTTCAGAGGTTTACACTGGATCCTGAGGGAAGTTATGACCACTTTGCTTTTGGTGTCACTCTGATGACTTGCGTGACGTTATCCGGCAGGTGATGTGCCTTCACGTGGAAGAGGATGATGGAGAATAAGAGGAAGATACAGTAGAAGAACCAAACATCTATCATTTTCACGTAGGCAGTACTAGGAAGGGCATCAGAGGTATTATTGAAGAGTGTATATAACACCAGCAGCGTCGTCAAGCTTAGTGTAAGGCGATCCTTCATGTAAAACAAGACAGAAGAAATATCAGAATAAACAAACATCTACAATCTACCAAAGAAGGTAAATTATTTTAAAAAATATAGTATCCCAGATATTCCTCTCTCTCTCTCTCTCTTGATGTCATGAGAATACTTTCGTATTAAGTTGGGACTACTTTTTGAAATTGAGCAAGCATTTATTTTACACATGAGTCACAACCCCTTTGACCTTGGTGTTGAGGAAAGAGCGTGCGAGAACCTATAGCCGAGGAAGCAGAGAATGGGAAGGAAAATGCCACACAATCATCGTCCACGTCGCTCTAATCGTACTCCACCTGCAAGAATCAGACCTTTCCTCAGTAAAGCAATCCAATAGTGGATATAAAATATTCTTTGCACAAGGGGAATGTCAAGCGATAGTCCCTTTTATGGTGTCATACTCACGCAATTATCAGAATTTCGTCAAATGAAAATTTGTTTTAATTTGGTTACGATAACTGAAAAAAGAAACTGAAACATCATACAACATCCAGAAGACCAAAGGATCTGTTTTCCTGAAAACGTCCTAAATCAATATAATCACCTGCATATTTTCCCATAGTAGAGAACAATAAATAAATAAACAAAAGTTACTCACTAACCAAAACAGCATAAAACGAGTGGATTGCTTGCCTTGGCGAGTGAGATTTACTGAATCAATCCTGACAATATACGAAGCAGCATCCTCTCTTCCAGATACTCCGGCCTTCTCCTGCGTACCTGGAGAGGTAACCAAATCCACTCCAACTGTCAGCTGCACTGCAAGTTCATCTCTGGGGATCGAACGTTAGTAGAATACGTCGAAGGTGGCAAGCAAAGCTTCACGGAAAGAAACAAGTGACCTGCTGATATTATATATATATATAAATATATAATAATATATATAGCTATATTATTAATATATATAAATATATATATATACACAAACATCACACACACATACACAAATACACACACATCACACAAAATCACAACACTCACACACACACACACACACACACACACACACAACACAGCACACACACACACACACACACACACACACACACACACACACACACACACATATATAATATATATATATATATATATCTATATATATAAACAGTCGGTTCGTCTACCACCGAGGCAGGGTGACCCTAAAAAGAAAGAAAATCCCCAAAAGGAAAATACTTTCATCAATCATTCAACACTTTCACCTCCCTCACACATAATCACTGTTTTTGCAGAGGTTGCCCAAATACAAAGTTTTTAGAAAGCATATACTTATAAAGGATACACAACATATCCCTCCAAACTGCCATATCCCAAACCCCTCCTTTATGAGTGCAGGCACTGTACTTCCCATTTCCAGGAGCTCTAGACGACTATATGAAAAATAACCGGTTTCTTGAAATCCCTTCACTAAATAATACCCTGGCTCACCACCCAACATTCGTCTCCATTCACTCCTATCTAACACGCTCACGCACGCTTGCTGGAAGTTCCAAGCCCCTCGCCCACAAACCTTCCTCTACCCCTCCCTCCAATCTTTTCGAGGACGACCCCTACCCCCCGCCTCCTTCCCTACAGTTTATAACTCTTTCATGTCATTCTACTTTGATCCATTCTCTCTTAAATGACCAAACACCTCAACAACCCCTCCTTTCAGTTCCTCTGACTAATACTTTTATACTCCAACAACTTCTCCTAATTTCCAACACTCCGAATTTTCTGCATAATATTCACACATTGCCCTTAGACAGGACATCCCACTGTCTACCAACCGCCTCTCGCTAACAGCATTTACAACCCAAGCTTCACACCCATATAAAGTTGTTGGTACTACTATAGCTTTCATACATTCCCTTCTTGCCTCCTTAGATAACATTTTTTTTGTCTCCACATATTACCCTCCAACGCATCCACATCGCCTTTTTTCCTTCATGAAATGCTATGATTAACCTCATCCTTCATAAATCCATCTGCTGACAACTCCAATCTACTCCAAATATCTGAAAACATTTCACTTCTTCCATACTCCTCCTCCCCAATTTGATATCCGTATTATCTGTTATATAAATCATTTGACACGCCACATCACCTTACTCTTTTCTATGTTTTACTTTCAACTTTCTAACCTTTTACACACTCTCCCAAACTCGTCACTAACCTTTGCAATTTTTCTTTAGAATCTCCCAAAGCACAGTATCACACAGCAAAAATCACTGTGTCAATTCCCATTTTGTATTTGATTCCCCCTAATTTAATCCCCCCTCTTCACCGAACACCCAGCATTTACTTCTTTACAACACCATCTATACATATATTAAACAACCATGGTGACATTACATATCTCTGTCTAAAATTACCACTTTTATACCGTGAAAGTAGTCTCACCTCTCTTATACACACCCTAACCTGCCTGAGCCTCACTATCCTCAAAAAACTCTTTACAGCATTTAATAACTTAACCACCATAACCATATACTTGCAACAATCTGCCACATTGCTCCGCCTACCACCTACATTCCGTTTCTAAAACCTTAATGCAATAAAAACTTCCCTACCTTTTATCCTAAATACTGTTCACATATATGCTTCAATGTAAACACTTTGATCTACACATGCCACTCGCTCTAAAACCCCCCTTGCCATCCGCATCCTACATTCTGTCTTGCCTCTAATTCCTTTCAATAATAACCCTACTGTACACTTTTCCTGGTATACTCAGTAAAACTTATTCCCTATAATTTTTACAATCTCTTTTGTCCCCTTCACTTTATATAAAGGGAACTATACATGCTCTCCTGCCAATCCCCTAGGTACCTCCCCCTCTTGTCATATGTTTTTAATAAACAAAAAATACCAACCCACTCCTACACTAATATATCCCCCTGCTTTTAACATTTCTGTCATGATCCCATCAGGTCCAGCTGCTTTATTACCACACCCCTTTCAATTCTATTCAACATAATCCTCACGCACCTTCCCCACAGTCACATCCTGCTCTTCTTGACTCCATACAAGAGGTATACTCCCTGGGCCAGTGCAAATGAAATTACTTGCCTCCCTTTCTTCGTCGACTATAAAAGGTCTCAAAAATAATCTCGCCATCTACCCAATCCTCCGTCCCCCCCATCTACTAACTCCCCTAACTCTGTTTTAAACTGACATATCCATTCGTTTCCCTAGGCTTTCTACTTGTTAACTCGCTCCAAATTTTTTTCTTATTTTCATTCAAATTTCTTGACAAGTGTCTCTCCCCACTCTATCATCTGCTCTCCTCTTGCACTCTCTCACCACTCTCTCACTTTTACTTTTACTCTTCATATACTCTACTCTTCGTGGTAACACTCTGCTTTGTAAAAACCTCGTCATAAGCTACCTTTTTCTCTTTCTCGCACCCTTTACTTCATCATTTCCACCAAATCACATTCGTCTTTCCTCCTGCCCCACCCTCCTATAACCTCCAACTTCTGCCCCCACATTCTAATACAGCATTTTTAAAACTATATCCAACCCTCTTCAACACTCCCCACTGCTCATACTTGCACCAGCCACCTTTCTGCCAATAGTTGCTATATCTCACCGAACTTCCTCCTCCCATGTTTATACAATTTCACCTCCCTCTTACTTATTGTTGTTTATTTTCCTCTTGTCACCTCTACCTCTACTTTAACTGTAGCTAAACTAAAATATGATCCGATCATCAGTTTTTGTATATATATATATATATATATATATATATATATATATATATATATATATATATATATATATATATATATATATATATATATAATATATATATATATAAATATATATATATATATATATATATATATATATATATATATAATATACAAAATCAGTCAGTAATAACAGTCCATAATTCTAAAGCATATACATATACTGCATACCATTAACTTGAAGGAGACTTTGGAAATAGCGTAACATTCCTTATTTTCAAGTTTCTAGTGAAACAACACCTGAATTGCTGTTGTTGCACGATCCGTAACTGAAGAACCCACGTCCACAGTATCTGTGGATAACAACTGGTCAAATTGTGATGTAAAAAAATGAGTTGTTAAAAAGCTTTAAAACGAGTTTTGTTGATTAATATTTTTATACATCAGATTTACAAGCTAATAATAAGAGTTAGATATGAGTATTAAAAGAAAATTAATCTAAGAATATACAGTGTTTTGTTGCACATTGCTGCTTGCTAAAGACAGTAATTTTGAAAAGAGCTGCAGAAGTTGATGAAGGATTTTTAATAAGGGTGCTCCCAAAAAAAAAATGAAAATGTGAAAGGAAAAGAGCAGAGTGAAAGAGTGTAAACTGTACACTAAAGGAAAAAAACATATGATCGGATTCTTTAAGGATAAAGCATGCTGGAAGACGACCCATAGAACAATGACGAAAAAGTAAACGGGATTTGTTTGAGGACTCTGAAAAGAAGTAAACCGTATGTGATATGAAGACAATATATGGATTATAGTGGAGACAGATTATTACCTTGCTTGATGCATAACTTTTTAGGATGGACGGAAGTGCAAATGTTCTGTATAAGATCGATGTGTAATATTAATATTGTGTATAGACTTGAGGAGTGAAAATAATAAATGACAGTGAATTAGAATAAGAGTGATAAGTAATGAATAAACGACGGGCTGCTTAGATGATTTGATTATGTAGATATACTTATGCCAGAGGGGGTGATAAAGGTATGGCAGTTCTGTATATACCTTGCCCAAAATTTACCGAGAGTAATTAGCTCACTCTCTGGAAAGGTTAGGTAAGATTCGTCAGGAAAGAGGACTAGTGTTTCCTGACGCGGGTCTTAGTCATATGATGACCCACTACTGGAGCTTTTGGTCACCTGATCGAGACCTACCGCTGGCTCACCGATCCATCCCTTCAAAAATAAAATGAGTTTATGGTGACCCGCAGAAGACTATGTTAATGTTAAAAATCTCCTTGTTTAATAGAGCACTGCACCTCAGTCAACCTCGTAAGTTCACGGGTTGAAAGTCACAGGTTGAAAGTCACAGGTTGAAAGTCACGGTTTAAGTTAACTGTTAATTCTATATAGAAGGACCAGTCTCAAAATGTGAATATAAAATAAAAGATTGATAAGTTGCTGTTGTAGAGAACTATGGATATGTCCTAATGTAGGCTTCCTTTAACTCTTCGTCTGATGTAGGCTTCCTTTAACTCTTCGTCTAATGTAGGCTTCCTTTAACTCTTCGTCTGATGTAGGCTTCCTTTAACTCTTCGTCTGATGTAGGCTTCCTTTAACTCTTCGTCTAATGTAGGCTTCCTTTAACTCTTCGTCTGATGTAGGCTTCCTTTAACTCTTCGTCTGATGTAGGCTTCCTTTAACTCTTCGTCTAATGTAGGCTTCCTTTAACTCTTCGTCTGATGTAGGCTTCCTTTAACTCTTCGTCTAATGTAGGCTTCCTTTAACTCTTCGTCTATGTAGCTTCCTTTAACTCTTCATCTAATGTAGGCTTCCTTTAACTCTTCGTCTGATGTAGGCTTCCTTTAACTCTTCGTCTAATGTAGGCTTCCTTTAACTCTTCGTCTGATGTAGGCTTCCTTTAACTCTTTTCTAATGTAGGGTTTCCCTTTTTCTCTTCATCAAAAGTAGGGTTCCTTTAACTCTTCTCCCAATGTAGGGGTTCCTTTTAACTCTTACTAATGGTTTTTTTCTCCTTTGGAACCTTCACTAATGT